AGAGCTGGAAACAGTTCTGTTAAGATAGCCCCGTCCAGCTGCAGAAGGTATGCCTTCCTTCTGCACGAACCGGGTGGGAGAAAGAAGTAGAAGTGACTGAGATGAAGAGGGGGAAACAGCGGGGGGGGGGAGGGGCGGGGAAGAGGAGCAGGAGCCAGAGTGTCAGAGGAAAGAGAAGTAAAACGGAATAGGAAGGCAGCCAGGAGTGGCAGGCTATGAAGATCTAGCAACTGCAGTATACTCCTCTACTGACCCCATTACTCCCTAAACTAAGCATTCCTTTGCTGTCATCTGAAACCCCAACCAAAATCTGCCTCCCCAGCCGCAGCAGCCTACATGGTTAGTAACTGCTGTTACCACAGCAGTTTTTTCAGTTTATGCTGAGAGACAGTTGATCTAAACTGATCCTCTAAGAAAAAAACATTGAAATTAAAAATACATATCATCCCAAGCAACCGTTCTTTAGATTTAAAAGCAAGATAAGTTACATTAAAAGTATACAAAGGCTGCGAAGCGTCCAGAAGCCGACAAGCGTAGCAGCCACTCATTCCCCTTCTTTTTCGGATGGGATACAGTCTCTTTGTGTGATTCCAAAACTCCTTTTACAGAGACCCCTTGTTTCACTCACTGCACTGGACAGGCTGCGTTCTTGTGATGAATGAGGATGGCGTAATAAAGGAGAAAGGCTTCTGCTTTGGTCCAGCTTTCAAGACAGTAAATAAGATAATGCCTTGCAGGAGAAAGGATGGTGTTACAGACCAGGCAGGTCTAAGTACCTGCTGGGACAACTGAATTCTCTCCCCATTTCTGCCAGGTGCGGCACAGGCAACCCAGGAGGTTGTGTTGCTTGGTGAGTACCCTATCTGTGATACCAACGGTCATGTTCTGGAATTACTAATCACAACTGCAACCAAGACGGAGGGAGCTATGCTGCGATCACATAAAGTACTATAAAATGTATCCTATTTTTTTTACATCTCAGCTCAGGTTCCTAAAATTATCTGGCAATCTCGGTTTCAAGTTCTGTACCTCAGAGCTCCGTATGTAACACAGGCATGGTATCCTCTATCTTTCTAGATATTGGGACAATTACAACATAAACTAATCCGAAAAGAGGTCTAAAGCCCTCAAACCAAGTTGATTTAGTTTGATACCACCGTGCCTTCAAGGATCATGGAATTAAGTAATACAGGGAGAGCACCATAGGAAAACTGATAAGAAAACGAATCATCTCGATGCAAGGTTTGGATTGTTCACAAAATCAGCAGGGCTCAGGGCCACGCGCTGAGTGCTGAGCATTAACACCTCGTGTGTTGGCTGAGGCAGAGACTTTGTGAAAGGGCCGGCATGGGGAAAAAGAGGAGAGATGTGATCGTGCGATTAGGAGCCCTGCGTGTACAGGGAGCAGGTTACATATGGGCACTTCCTATGATCCTTGTGTTTTCTTATTTTGCAGTGCTTGAATGTACAAGCTAGGCAGCTAAAGGTTTTCTTTTTTAAACTGAGGGCTTGGTATCAGTTGGCGTGGAGAATGTAAGATACAGCAGAACGTAGCTGCCGTGTGCCTGTCCGGGGAAAGGCAGAGCAGCAGCTGTTGGGCCTGGAGAGGACAATAAGGCAGCTTAGAACAGCTCCCATTTGCCCAAGGTGCACATCACAACCTCCCACCCGGCCATCTACACCAACCGCTGCTCTGCCAACAGGTAAAACATACTGCATTTGCTCTGGGAGGATCTTGATTACACCTTTGCACCCCATAGCGGCAACCCGCTAGTTTTCTCCTTCAACCTCTGATCAGACTCCATATTTACTTCTCCCACCTGAGACTGCTCAGCTGATTATCTACCTCCTTTTCATCAAGCAGCCTGCGAGTGCAGCGCATGCCCATACCGTTTGAGATAATGGGTTTGAAACGAAGCCAGGTGACTTTGCCTATCCCGATCTCAAGCTCACGCTTTCAATAACGTCTCTGTTACACAACATCGCAACAACATACCGGCACGAATCCTGCTTCCCACGGCCCTCGGTGCCAGGGCTACCTGCAGTCAGAAATACCTGCTCAAACCACACTTTCTTTTTCTTTTTGGCTTTTGATTTTCGCTCCTGCTCTGAGCGTGCAGCACAAAGGCAGCACAGCACGAGCCCGTACAGAATTGCCTCCCAGCCGCCAGACAGACACCTGGCTGAGCAGTACCTTTGCTGCGTGGAGATTTACCTCTGCTACGTGGAGGTTAACTGTCTTTACCAAACAACCCTGGTGCTGCCAGCCGCAGCTTGCACGGGTGCCTGTGATTTCCTGTTTCTGAAAGCAGTGATACCAGCCAGACCGTCACTCTCCTTAATTTAGGAAGCTGTTTCGTGTTTTCCTGTGATCTGGTTCCACACCACCACACGCAGGCTGAGGACTGTCACATGAATAAGAGCGCTGAGGTTACACGGCACTTCCCCCGTTCAAAACACTCGGTGAGGAAACCCACGGGTATTATTCATTGTGAACGTTTCCCACAGACTAAACCCAACAGGTACCAGCAAGTAGTCTTGCTCTTTTGCATTTTCTAGTGTAACGCAACAACAAAGGAGCATACTCAATAACCTCTATACGGAATGAGGTATATGTGCTTAATTTTACCTGTGTGAACATTTTAAAT